TACTGTTGGGGTGTAATGGAATTGTTAGTCAGTGTCTAGCTACCTCCCCTAATGGGAAAAACATGTCTAGCATTTACTATTTGCCTTTATATTCTTTCTTTTATTCCTTTTCCTCTTTTTTTCCCCCTTGCCTTCATTCCAGCTTCTCGTGCGTAATTCAGCCCCACTGATATGTATGGGTTTCTCCTTTCAACTTCCTTTCTGTGTTCCTGCTTCTCCACTCCTCTTTCCACTTGCAGCCCAGAAGTGTGTCTTTATCTCTGAGGAGAGCTCTGTGCCCTGCAGATAGTGCTGGTGCTGTGCCAGAGTGACGGCAGCCTGCAAAGGAAGGTTCTTTCTTAGAATCATCCAGCAAACTGATAAAATCATGGGCCAGGTACTGAGTGCCTGGATGCTAAAATGAAAGGATTCTAGTTGCTGAGGAAAGTAAAGAAGGAAATTATTAATTCTACATTAAATGGGAGTGCAGAGAAAATAACTTGAACTGAGCCTTGAAGGAAGTGTGAATTTCACAAGTTAACAAATAAGGAACACATAAATGAATCACGTCGCTAACCCACAAGGAGGATTTCAGGGAACAGACCTGGACATTGTATGGGTGCAAAGGGTGAATTAAATGGAAATAAAAACGAAGGGGTTAGGGAAGTTAGGCCCAGAAAGGCTTAAAAAAAAAAGCCATTTTGAGGGATTTGAGCTCAATCCAGAGGCCGTTAAAAAGCTTTTAAAGCCCTTCAAGCAGAAAATGGACATAATGTGATCTAGTTTAGAAATTTAACTCCAGCAGCAGTGTAGAAAATGAATTTGAAAGGAGAAAGACTTAGAAGCAGAGAAACCAGAGAAGAGGCTTAATAAGAAATGATTATGGTGAGCTAGGGTAATGGGTAACCACTTAAATCAGAAGGAGTTGATGGACAATTAGAAATGTGTGGAAGTAGTCAAAAATGATTTGAAGACTCCTGGCTCAATAACTAGGAGGGTCGTGATGTCATTAAGGAAGAAAAGGCATGCAAAAATAGGGATTCGCATGGAGAAATAAAATATTGGAACTATTAATTTAAGGAATTTACAGGGAATCCAAATAGATACTCAGGAAAGTTGCCTAGGTTATAGAGATAAATTAAATTGGAAAACTGAGTTCATCATTTCTTTTATTATTATTAAAGATTTATTTATGCATACAGAACTGGGGTACAGGCCAGAGGTGCAGGGGCAGTGAGAGGACCCATCAGAGACTGAGCGGGGAGCAGGACAGGCAGATGGACAATGTACACAGCTGAGGAGAGACAGGAGAGGTCTGCCGCGCCATGTGGTCAGCTCCAGGGCCAGGAATTGAACTCGTGCTGAAGAGCATGTGGATAGCTTCATAGTGCTGTGCTTTAACCCATTGTACCACCAGGGAGGGCCACATTTATCATTTCTTATAGACAGACTGTAATAGAGCTATTTAGTCATGAAGTTCTGTAGTTTCTTTCTGGGAAATTATTTGTCAAACAGTCAATAGCAGCAGAATAAAAAGGATTATCTACTGTCATAGAAATTTTTTTTTTTTTGGTAACCCACCATACAATAATAAGTTTCAAAAACCCAGTTTTTCCTCTTTAGTGGCTTTTAAGGGGTCTTCATATTACATATTCTCCCACTCATGTAGAGCAAGTACTCATTTGCTAGATTGTTTGAACTCAAAAGGCATGTGTCGGTGAAACTACCATACTACAAAACCCTGTGAACTCAGACGGGTGGTCTTCGCTCTTTTGAAAATGGCCGAGTTTGTATTCATGGAGATTTGAAAGTATGGATGTGGTATGTGCTTAGCTATGAAAAGTCTTGTCTGAACTAGCACAAGGAAGTCCCCTTGTAGTTGAGGAACTACTTGAAATCGCTTAGGTATCTGTTTCGCTTACTCATTCCTGTCACACGCCGCCTCCCTGCAGACGCCGAGGGCACCTGCTTTGCATCAGCGTAGTCACTAGCCTTTGCGCTCTCAGGTTGGTGTGAGTTTAACACCGTGCTTCATCTTTGACACTTATCCCACTGTATGATTTCCTGTTAGCACAGATTACCACAAATCCCACGCCTTAAACCAATGCACGGCTGCTCTGTGCAGCATTCTCGATGCCAGTCTGGAGTGCATCTCCCAGGTGGCAGTGAGGTGTCCGAGCAGACTCTTGATCTTGCGAACGTCTGTGCCTCCCCTCTTCGTGACTCTCAGCCGTGTCTCTCCAGTTTCTGCTTCTGTTGTCACATGACCTTCTATCATGAAATTTCCCCCTCCTCCTTACAAGGACACTTGTGATTACATGTAGGGTCCCCCTAAATAATACAGGCCCATTTCTCCTTTTGTCAAGTTCCTTAATCATATCTGCCAAGGCCTTTTTGTCATCTAAACTAACATTCAGAAGGTTGAGGGTATGTGGTCCAGATCTTTGGGAGCCATTACTCAGCCTTCCACACTCATCATTTCAAAGAAATAGAAAACGACCATTTTCAGTAGTTTCATAATACTAAAGCGATAGTTTAAAATAAGCCGAAGAGGAATTAAAATTCATAGCATGAATTTTATGTTATTTTATTCATGTTATGAAAGTATTTTTTGCTGTCATTTCTGTTTCATAAACATGCCAGCAGAATGCACATTTTTTAAACGTTTGTCATATTTAAACATTTGTTATATGCAAATACACAGCACAACCTCTAAAGAACGTCAGGTGAGATGAGTGCACCTGTTACTTCCTTGGTGAGCACAGTCACGAGCAGAATCGCAAAGTTCAACAAGAAGTGTTTAGGATTTAAGTTTAGTTCCCACTCACTTTTAAGGTGTTTGCTAAAGATTCCTCCGCGGTCACAGACGCATGTCACACGCAGCCCCGCCCAGCGCGCCCGCGCGTTCTCGCTCGCGACATCGCTGCCCTGCCCACAGTTCACATTTCAAAGCAAACCCAGGTCGCCTATCATCTCCATCAGTGGTTCCTTACATGCCGTTAGTGACGCAGCTTTCGTTAAAGGGAAGGGTAGATGCCTGCCGGGTGGTGCAAGGGGATGCGTCGCAGCACTGAAGCTGCCCACAGCCACTGCAGTGTGAGTGTGACCCCGGCCAGCCAGGGAGTGACCCACAGGGCGCAGCAGACCTCTCTTCCTCCCTTCAGCAGGATACTTCAGTGGATCTGCCTGTTCTGCTGCCCGCTCTGTCTCTGGTGAATCCACTCACCACTCCCAGCTCCCCCCCACACACCCCAGCTCTTGCATGCATATATAAATAATCTTTTGAAAAGTAAAATAAAATGACTAATAATTACTCGATGTTAATTGAGTTTTCCAGTATTCAAGCTTCTAGATATCTTCAGTGTCATAAATAGCTTGTTTAATATCATTTTTTGGATTTTAAGTTCTATGAAGATAAAGTGTTTGTTTTTTTAAAGATTTATGTATTTGTGCATACAGAACTGGGGTACAGGCCAGAGACTCAGGGGTGGCGAAAGACTTCACCAGAGACAAAGTGGGGAGCAGAACAGGCAGATGGACGAAGCACACTGCTGAGGGGAGCAGCGGGCGGGTCAGGAGAGGTCTGACGCACCATGTGGTCACCTCCGGGGCAGGCGGGGGTCGAACTCATGCTGAAGTGGCTTATGCTTCTTAGTGCTGTGCTTTTACCCACTGCGCCACCAGGGAGGGCCCCAAAGATAAAGTTTTTAAAGAAGATATTTACCATTTGATTATATCATGGGTAACTGGCATTATCTTAAAGCCATTTACTAATTTTGTTCTCCTTTAAAAATCATTTTTTGGCTCCATATTCTTCCACTTATCTTTAGGAGAGTGGGCTTATATTTTTTGGGTTCTCTTCTCAAAAGTGCTGTGTCTTTACTGCTTATTTCATTTTCATTAAAATTTTGGTGACTTTTCTTTCAAGTGACATATCTATTTATAGGGACATAAGTTACAAATAACATTTATTTGTAGGTTACATTGCTGAATTGTGTGTATATAGCTTTTTTCCAACTAAAAGATTTTATAATTTCCACAATACTAAGAAAGTTTTGTTTCTCTGAAATTCTAAAAATTTTTAACAATGGTTATGAAGATTTTTGTAGTTTTTTTTTCCAGATAAAATCAGTGACTCATTTTTTTCTGTTTCCCAGATATTGTTTGTGTATATATATAATACATATTTTTTTGAAGATGTATTTGTCTTAAAATGTGACGGAAATTAAGTAGGAGTTTCTCAGAAAATGATCTGTATGAGACAAACAGATTTGAAACTCTTGTTCTCACCTAATTTCTTAATATGCACATAGTGTTCCTAGAAATCCTGTCTTTCCTATGTAGTTTCTTGGCCAAAAGAATCATTCTTGGTTATCAAAAGTTTAAGCTGAGCAGCAGTAGTAACTTATTTCACTCTGCAGTTAAAACTGCAGGCTGTGTGGCCCTCCCTGGTGGCGCAGCGGGTTAAAGTATAGCACAAAGAACTTTAAGCCACTTCAGCATGAGTTCGATCCCCGCCTGCCCCAGAGGAGCTCCACATGGCGAGGCAGACCTCTCCTGACCCGCCCGCTGCTCCCCTCAGCAGTGTACTTCGTCGATCTGCCTGTTCTGCTCCCCACTCTGTCTCTGGTGAATCCTCTCACCCTCCGCATCTCTGGGCCTGCACCCCAGTTCTGTATGAATAAATAAATAAATCTTTTAAAAAAAAAAAAAAAAAAAAAAACTCCAGGCTGTGTTGGCATTGAGTGTTTTGCTTTGAGTAGGTTTTCAGAACCTTCAATTAAAATCCTCAAGTTATGTGTAGATGCTGAATTCAGATTCTATACACAGAAAATGTAAAAAGATAGTATTTCAAAATATCCTTTGAAATATTTCTCCTCAATTCTGAAACCTTCTGAAACACTGCCTTTCTGTATTTCAGGCGAGCTTTGTGGCTTCTGGAAACCGAACAGATATTTCTTTAGATGATCCCAACTTCTGGCAAAAGTGGGCTAAAAAGGCAGAAATAGATATAGATGCCATCAGTGGCAGAGTAAGTATTGCTTTCCCTTAAGGAAATTACTATTGAAATACTTTGGTGATATTGTAATGTTGTAAGGTGTTCAGCTGTATAGTTGTTGGAATAAATTTTGTCTGACTCGGCTTGAATTTAGCTCTTCTGTTGTCTGCCATTAACCATGCTATGCCACAGCTTTTTAATATAGGGAAGTGTAATTTTCAATATGATTTACAATCTTATTCTAATTGTTTTAAATAACATGTTTTTAGTGTCTTCAAATCGTGGATTCCTCTCACTTTTCCTCTTTACCCTGATTTCCTGGTGTCAATCCTGTTAATGATCTAGTCAATTACAAAACGAGGGCAAAAGCTGTCAAGAAAGTGGCATTTTAAACATTCTTTTACAGCGTGTTTCTGGCAAGTAAGGAAGAAAGCTATGAAGCTAACATGGGATTCACGCACTGGTTATAACGAGACATAAGTGAGCATAAGGCTCACTTCTTTAGACCTCACCTCAGAGCACTGTGAGGAGTCGGTGTTAATGAGCTTTCCACTGCTCCGTTACTTCAGTGGCTTTTATTAAGCCTTGACACAGGGCACTTATTTTGACAGACTTCTAAGGTGCAAAACTGTATAGTGCCAGTGTCACCATTGCCAGATATGATTACTTTGGGAGGGTTTTGGAAGTAGTAGGTGTAATTTTATCCAAGACAAGTTTTAATAGACAGTTATTAAAATATTATTATTTGTATTTGGCATGTTTATGTGCCTAAAAAGGCCGTGGACCCTTCAAAGCACGACTGTAATTAAATAGCAAAAGCGAAACAAGCAACTTCCCGGTGGAGAAGCTGGGTCCGGAGAGCTGACATGCGCAGCAGTGACGCAACGCTGTGCCCCCCTGGGCCTCACGTGCTGCGTGCCGAGCGTGCAGCGGGGAGCTTCAGGTCTTGCGCATCCACCTGCTGCACTTGGCGTCTCTGCCCGGGCTGCCAGGCCAGGCCCTGACTCCCCTCCCTGTGGGCTCCCTGCTGCTTAGCAACGTTTCTTTCTAGTACCAGTGCTAGGGAGCTTTCTCTGACTTCCCCTGTATCTCCTTGCATCAAAAAATACTTGGTCCTAAATAGCATTTACTCGCCTGCACATTATCCCAGCCCTCCCTGACCCGCCTTCTCAGTAGAGGTGTCCTGTTCATCGTTGTGCCTCAGAGAAATTTCTCCATAAAGGTAAAAAAGCCTTTGGGCGTCAGTGGCCTTCAGGGCGTTGGGCTGCTGAGCAGGGTGAAGCGCAGCCTCTGGCTGTCTTGCTTTTCGCTTCTCGGTGTAAGTGAAGCGCATTTCTGTATTACTACCCTTTGAGGTTACTCCTTTTGGATGCATCGTCCAGGTAGACTTAGATCACAAGATTTGTCTCAGTATTATTTATTTTAACAACTGAGAAAAATCTAAGCTATGAATTAAATTATGCATAAACTCAGTCTAAATATATATTTTATGGTGACCATAAAAGCGCAATAATTTTCATACTAATACAGTCAAATACCAAATTCTTTCTTGTCCTCTGATTGTAATGTAATAATATTAATAAGTACATAGGGCAATGGGAATCTTTAAAAGTTGTAGGTTAATGGGCTTCTTTTCTGGCTTTCTGCAAGTGTTTTTTTTTTTTTTGTATGATTGGAAAGGTGAAAATATTTAAGCACAGTAGACCGCCAAGTAATAGCTTTGAAATTTTACAGAACAGCTTGGTCATCGACACCCCCAGAATCAGGAAGCAAACAAGACCCTTCAGTGCCACCAAAGACGAGCTGGCGGACCTGTCGGAGGCTGAGAGTGAGGGAGACGAGAAGCCCAAGCTGCGGCGGCCGTGCGAGCGGGCGGGCGGCTACGGCCGGACAGAGTGCTTCCGCGTGGAGAAGAACCTGCTGGTCTACGGGCGAGTGTCCCCGCGCCGCTGCTTGCCGGAGCCCGCGACGGCGTCGCTTATCCCCCTCTGCCCTCTAGCCTGCTCTGAGGCCGTTCTCCTCAGTCGCTCTCCTCAAATGCCCTCAGTTCCAGCGTCACTTACGTTTACTACAGGACGGTGGAATTGCCGAGGCTTTTTGGTTCTGAATCAAACACCGAGGTCCCTGCCCGGGCACCCTCAGATTCGCGCCCGCAGCCACACACCCCGGGAATGTCATCCCCTGCGGGGAGCGCGGGCCGCACTTACTGTGCCTGGCTGTGCACCTTACTAGTGGTGGATTTGTTTTCCTGTGAATGACCGGACACGTTTTTCGTAGTTTTCAGGGCTTGTATTCATGAGTTTTGTCTCTCTGGCTCCTGACTCTGTAGTCATGCGGCTGTATTTTGTGTCACTAGGTGGGGCCGGTGGCGAGAAATTCTGTCTCATGGCCGCTTCAAAAGGCAGCTGAACGAGCACGACGTGGAGGTCATTTGCCGGGCCCTGTTAGCCTACTGCCTTGTTCACTACCGAGGAGATGAGAAAATTAAAGGGTTCATCTGGGACCTCATTACTCCAACTGAAGACGGGCAGACACGAGAGCTGCAAAACCATCTAGGTGAGAGCTGTGTTTGGCTTCCGTTTTAGATCCGCCAGTAAGACTTCATCTAGTACCCTGTGCGGGCACTTACACCTGAATAGTGGACGTTATAGAACGTGACCTTCGTCCTCCACTCAGGGCCCGGCCTGTCCCCGGGTCCTCGTGTAACTCGGCGTGTGAGCTCACTGCTCGTGCGCTCACGCGGTACCTGACGCTGGGCCCAGCAGCCCCACAGGCGACCAGGCTGTCCCGCAGCTCTGTCCCTCGCGCTGGCAACCGCAGTGTGAGCGTTTCGTGATAGTGATAAATTCTAATCAGTGTTAACAATGGGTATTTGGGGCGTTTCCAATTGTGGACAACGAAAAACAAGTGTCAGTGAAGATCCTTGTACCATCTTTCTTGGGCACAAGAATAAATCTTTTCGCTGAAGTAACTAAGAGTGAATTGCTGGAGCCCAGTACGTGTGCATTAGTACCCGGAATGCGGCCTGGAGGTAAACAGCGTCTGCATCTCCTGGGGACCTGCTAATGCAGACTCTTAGGCTTCATGGTTACTGACTCCGGGTCTGCCTTTTAGCAAACTCTTTAGTAATTAGATGTATATTAGTCCTGGGGTAACACATTTCCAGTAACAACAACAAAAAATTGTTGTCCGATGTGACCAGCAACCAATAGTCCCTTCAGAGGGATATATTAGTATATCTCTTCTCTTCTTCTCCAAAACCTTGCTAACAGAATGTTCTTTTCTGCATAAAATAATTGTTTTAGAGTGTAAAATAACGGAAGTTTCTATAAAGATAAAAAGGATTACTACGCCTTTACATTTGTATGAAAGCTTTGTGTACTTATCAGCAGACGCCTGTGAGGTGTCTGCTTCTTGTGCAGGTAAGAAGAAAGTAGATAAACAAGATCTCTGAGCTCAGGGTCATTCTGGCCGGGAAGATAAACAGCATAAGAAGGCGGGTAGATTACATAATCACAGGCTGTGATGGTCCTGAGAAGTGTGTGAATCTGAGGTGAGCGCAGCTCCAGGAGGCCCTGGCCACGCCAGAGGCAGGACTGGCTGGTCCAGACAGAGAGCCACACAGATATAATTGCACTCTTCCTTGAAAGCTGCACTCACATGCAATTTAAGGAAGGAAAACGATTTCTTGTATTTGAGGAATTAAGCTGGAGGCCCTCCCTTGTGGTGCAGCGGGTTAAAGCGCAGCACTGCAAAGCTAGCTGCGGCCATTTCAACACACTGTAGAATGTAAGAAAAAGATACATGAGACAAGAATTGAAAGGAGAACTCAAAACTGCATTATGCGCATGTAGTTAATGTAATTAATGTAACTGAATCACCTCACGCATTGATTAACAGATCGTGTGGTCATACAGTAGATTTTTACATCTTAAAATTGGCGAATTAGAAACTCGTGAATCAAGGGGAAAAGGTCACAAATACAGTGCAGTGAATAACAAGACAAATCACATGTACAATGTGATACCTAAAAACTTAAGCATCTCTGCAGCACGTCATAATAAGAGAAGTAAGTGTGCATAAAATGAAAACTCATTCAGGACAGCGCTGTCTCTTGGAAGAAACACTGAATTGGACTGGAGCTGTATTTATTTCCTTTAATAAAAAAATGAGCAAATACAGAATATGTTCAGACTAAAAGTTTTTGAAATACCATACTTGGCACTAAAAATCAGAACAGTTAATTTGAGGTGCAGACTGTTAGGTGTTTGGGGGAAATTGTGTCAGTAAAGTCTCCATACTGATGTTTCCTGTGATGGAGTTACTTCTGCTGCCGTTAACATTTGAAGATGTCTTCTTCAGCGACTGCACACTCCAAGTCGCCAGAAGTTTCTTGCATTGAAGAAGTGTTTCCAGATGCAGACGTTTATACAGATTATCCCTGATCCACGTGTCCTTCCATTTTCACAGGTCTGTCTGCCCCAGTACCCAGGGGTCGGAAAGGGAAGAAAGTAAAGACTCAAACGAGCTCATTTGACATACAGAAAGCAGAATGGCTTCGAAAATACAATCCCGAGCAGCTGCTTCAAGATGAAGGCTACAAGAAGCATATAAAACACCACTGTAATAAGTAGGTAGTGGGGTGGTTTTAACAGAACTTGTCGAAAATACTTTTCTGAACTTATGAACAATCTTAAAAGCGTGCTGACGTAGAGATGAAGATTTTGGAGAAACCAAAATCTTTTTATATATGGCAGTACTGAGATTTATTTGGCCAGAAGTCATCTCTGTTTTGCTATAAAAACTGTATACAAATTCTTTGCTCGTTTTAACCCCATGATTAATCTCCTTGTGTCTTTTGGTTCCCCCTCATTTTTAGAGTGTTGCTCCGTGTAAGAATGCTCTATTATCTAAAGCAAGAAGTCATTGGGAATGAGTGTCAGAAAGTATTTGATGGAGTGGATGCCAGGTAAAGGATAACATGTTTACATTTATTTTTCAGTAACTTGAGACAAAAGTGGTATCCCCAGAAAATTGTCAGTTAAGTGGCTTCCCCCCTACACCGCCACCCTCCAGTAACGCTGAGCCGAACATGTCATGGAGAAGAGAGACACAAGGAGGCCCGAGCTACTTCCCTTTCCGCTCGCCTTTGTCTTACGTTGACCCTCGCGCCTGGGGCCCGTCTCTTCCCCCTTGAGGCCTTTGCCCCCCTCGCCGCCGCCTGTATTTGCTGAATCATCATTTCCCTTTCACTGAGTCATTCTCCTGGCACATGTACAAGCCTTTGCATCATCCACTCGGGAGAGAGAAGCAGCCCCTGCTTCTTGCTGTTGCCCAGCCCTGCGCACTCCGTGAGCGGGTGTCTGGTCTCCCGCTGCACCTTCTCGTTTCTCCTCAGCCTGTTCCAGTTAACTTTCATCCCCACCAGCCCACTGAAGCGGGTGCTGACCAGGCCGCCGGCGGCAGAGAGTTTGGGTGCCCTCGCTGCTCCCCTGCTTCACTTGCGCTGCTGGGTGCTCTCCCCTGCACGGGGCTCGGTTTGCGCTGACCGGGAACGCGTCTAGACCTCCCTGGAGGCACACCCGTGCAGTTTCAGATACGACCTATGACCAGAGGTTCCCAAGGTGCCATGGGATGTGGCTTCCCGGAGCTGCGCTGGGTGACTCCCCCTCGTGTTTCTGTTCCCCACTCCGGATTCGCCTTTGGGCTTGAGCAGATTTCACCTGCCTCGGCACACACGTAACGCGTTCCAACCCAGTGTCTCTCCATACTGTCATGTCACTGGCCTTGACTCTGCGGCCCAGCTGCCGTTCCTTCCTGTCATTCGCCGCCTCCTTGCCAGCTCTCCTGCGCGGCTGCCTCACAGATCCCCTTTCAGCCTTCTGCTTGCTGCTTTCCAGGCACCTCTTTCTGCCGGTCAGATGTCTCCTCTTTTCTTGACACTCACTCTTGGGTCTGGTGTCATCTTTTCTGCACATTTAAAAAAAAAATGATTTGTTTTGTGGTAGAAGAACTGGGGTGTAGGCCAGAGGTGGAAGGGGTAAGAGGATTCCCCAGAGACAGAGTGGGGAGCAGGCCAAGTGGAGCTACTGAAATAGAAGACTGCTGAGGGGAGCAGCAGGAGACAGGAGCGGTCTGCCGCGCCCTGTGGGTCCCTCCCTGGCCCTGTGGGCCCCTCCCGGCGGGGCTGGGACTCCTGCTGCAGGGGCTGCCGAGAGCTTCCCAGTGCTGTGCCTGAGCCAACCCTTGAGCCACCAGGGAGGGTCCTTAGTTTGCATTGCTATACTGATGGCTTCCAAATCTGTCTCCAGTCCACATCTCTCTTTTGTTTTATTTTGTGTTTTAAGATTTCTTTCTGCGTACAGAACTGGGGTACAGGCCAGAGGTGCAGGGTCTGTGAGAGGCTTCACCGGAGACAGAGTGGGGAGCAGGACAGGCCGACTGAGAAGTCCACTGCTGAGGGGAGCAGCGGGGAGACAGGAGCGGTCTGCCGTGCCATGTGGGTCACCTCCCGGCCATGGCTGGGGATCGAACTCTGGTCTTTGCCGCTGCGGTGGCTTCATAGTGCTGCACTTTAACCCTCAGTGGGCCACCGGGGAGGGCCCACATCTCTCTTTGAACTTGGGAGCCGCAGTTCCCAGCTGCGCCAGGACTCCTCCTGCCTGCGGGTCTTTGCAGTCTTGCTGGAACCATCGCTCTCCTGTCCTGCGCTCTCTTACTGCCAGCTGGCACGAGCTCAGACCTCTCAAGGCTGGTTAGGCACCTGCCCTGTCAACGACGAAGACACGGTACCACCGGTGCCGCTGAGGACAGGGCCCTGCCTCTCGGTGTTCCCAAATCAGCACAGCGGTTTCCCTGTGTTTTGAGTCAGTGGTCAAGATGGGGGTGTCCACAGAGGCTTTGTACAGGAGATAGCGCCTCACAGCTCTCAAGAGTTCGTGAATGCTTAGCGTACACATGGAACTGACATTTGAACCATGAGGTATAAACTGAGTGGTTTTTTAAGAATTCACTGTGATTGAAGTACCATTGGTTTTCACTGTGTTATGGTGTACCCCCTTCAGGTGTAGTCACTGTGGTGGGTCCACCACCGGAGCACCCCGCCCTGCATCCAAGCCCTCTGTGATGGCCCCCCATCATGCTCACACCCCTGTTCTCCCCACTGAGTGTCTTAATCTTTACAAATCAGGAGACTGTTCTACCTCAGATGATAACCACCCTGTTTCTGGCCTGGAGTGCCACCTGGTGGCTGGTAGTGGGATTACCTGGCCCCCTCCAACACCCCACCCCACCTCCTCACCCCCACCCCCTTGTGAGCTATGTACAGAGTTCTTTTATCTGTTGGTTGTTATGCTTTGTTCCTAGTCAGGAACTGAGTCGAATGTAAATCCTCTCTTAACTATGTTTTTCTTCATCTCTTATTAAACCTTTGTCTTAATTGTCACAAGAAACTTTTTTTTTTTAAGATTTCGTTTATTTATGCATACAAACTAGGTACACAGGCCACAGGTGCAGGGGGTGAGAGGATTCACCAGAGACAGAGTGGGGAGCAGAATAGGTGAAGTCCACTGCTGAGGGGAGCGGCGGGCGGGTCAGGAGAGGTCTGCCGCGCCATGTGGGTCAGCTCCTTGCCAGGGATCGAACTCTTGCTGCTGTGTCTGCGTAGCTTCATAGTGCTGCGCTTTAACCTGTTGCACCACCAGGGAGGGCCAAGAAACTCTTTGTTTCTCTGTTTCCCCTTACTAAGCTAGAAAATATTGTAAATGAAACCCTTCAGTTTTAAGCAAAATTAGACATAATAAAGTGTTCATTTAAATGCAGAAAAAAAGATTGTAGGATCTATCCATTTCTCCATATTCCCTGGATTTAAAATGTTTTCTGCTAGCGAAAAAAAAATGAAGCATAAAAATAATTTATCAGTTTTCTATATTTTACTTACATATAGAACTTATAAGGCCTTATTCATTGCCACCATCCTTTGTTTCAGCTATATGAGGGGTAAATTCTGAACTCTTAGGGACTAGCCCGGGGCCTTACTGGCTGACCATTCATCAGTGTGTGACACATTTGGGTAAATGAGGCTCTGAAGTTTAGGACAGAGGCACAGGCTGGAGACAGGTTCTGGAGCCTGGAACAGTATAGAAATAAAAATTGATGCCGTGGAAGAATAACAAGTGACAACGAGAATATTCCTTTTGTTTTCCCAAAGACAACCAACCTACAAATGAACTTTTGCCATATAGCATATCTATAAATAGAAACTCCCCTTTCCTTCAAGTCTAAAGGCCTTACTAATTAATTTATGAAATTGCCATGGCAAGACAATGTCATAATTTCTGTTTACTATAAATTGTGTTATTTCATGTATCTGATTCTTTGAAAACTTATAGTATCAAATAGGGAAATTCTCAACCAGGCTATATTGCTTTCCTGAGGTAATTTGCCTTCTCTCATTCCTGCTCTTTCTCTTGAGTGTAGAATAAGTCGTTTATGTAAATTAATGATAACGTGTTTGCTGACCATCACCAGCTGTCCACTAGGTTAAAGGAGATGACGACTTGAGTACTGTGGTAAAGGAGTGACCGTTCCAGGCCTTCTCTGCACGACATCTTTCCCTCTTTCAAGGTGTTGCACATGTTACCTGCAGGAGGTTCTGGGAAAAATATTAATTTCAAATGATAAGCAAAGTAAAAGGAATTACATTTGCAAATTGTAAGTGATACAGTTGTATTACACTCTAGAAAACAACCAAATCACCATAGCATTGTGGCTATATTGTAGGTTGTTGAACCTTATCATATTGTCACCTTGTAGCATGTTGTTTATATACAGCACAAAGATAGTGCTTTGTGTATCCTAATAAAAGTATGAATCAGAAACTTGCCTTTTCCCTTTCTTTGCAAGAAATGCTTAATTTTGGACATCCCTGCTAGCACACAGGGGTTAACATCTCAACACTGTCAAACTATCTCCAGCCACTGCGGCACGATTTCGATTCCCGTCAGGGAGTGACCCACAGGGTGCAGCAGCTCCCCTCATTGGTCTATTGCAGTAGGTCCACCTGTTCTGCTCCCCACTCTGGCTCTGGTGAATCCTCTCACACATACACCCCCACACCCTTGGCCTATACCCCAATTCTTGTATGCATAAATAAATAGATCTTTTAAAAAAGAAATCCTTCATGTTTCAGTATGAATTTCCTAGCAGTAGCAGTCCAAAAGAGTCTTAATTTATTTGTAGCCAAAAGCAGTGAGCACCTCACTCTCCTTTCAGGACATCAGTCTCCTCATCCAGGTCATTTTTGTCAGGTGGTTGGCTAACCTAAGACTCTACTTTCCAATTGAAAGGACCTTTTGTCTGCATCCAAAGGCAATGAGTAGGAAGACTGATTCCTGCAAAGGAGCCTTACTGAAACTCCTTTCTTGGGGAGGAAGGAGGAGCAGACTGAGCTTCTCTCCCACCTGTCTCCTGCTGGACTGGAGAGGGCCCCCAGGTCAGGCGCATGATGGAGAGACCACTGCAGTGGAGAAAAGAGCAAGAAGCTTGTCTTCCATTGTGCGTCGTACGGTTGCTATTTTATTAACTGTTGACATTGTGCATTTTGTAATTTTAATTAATGGCAAATGCAAACAAAGTATTGCAGAAATAAAACCTGAACCTCTTCTTCCTTAAAAAACCTTAGTGCTTAACAAGTTTGGTAAAGTTTTGCCTCCTCTTTGACTTGTTTGTACTAATGTACGGTGTTTATTTCTCAGCGACATCGATGTTTGGGTCCCAGAGCCAGACCACTCAGAAGTTCCAGCTGAGTGGTGGGATTTTGACGCCGACAAGTCGCTCCTTATTGGCGTTTTCAAACATGGTGAGTGAGAACCAGGGTTGGCAGTCAGCTGCTGTGCGGTCTAAGCCGAGGAGTTCTGTTTCCTGCCTTCCACTTAACAGCTTTTCTTACCAAAGAAAACAAGTCAAAGCCCCGTGTTGAGCGTAGGGCCACGCCTCACCAGAGCCTGCAGCGCCAGCTCAGGCCGCGTCCACCACTCGCCTGACCCGAG